CAGGAATCCAGTAGAACTGGACAATGTGGCAAGCCTGATATTTGATATGACAAGTGACTTTTATCAATTTGGCCTGTTGTGATAGTTTTTTGCATATACCTCTGTTTATAGCCTTGCGTTTTAAATTAATTTTTCATTTGTTTTTTTTTCATCCTTTAAAAGAGGCATTACAACAATCGTTGAATGTTTTGAAACCATTAACCGCAATGATGGATGGGAATTCTGCTCGGATTGGATGATCCTAGCTATGTTTTCATCAATAAACCGCAAAACAGCTTATGGGCTTAAATATTATGGTTTGAAGTGTCGCAGCTGCGACGGAAAGAAAGAAAATGAGCCATGAAGAGATTCTGAGAAAAGAGCCGAAGCGTCAATACTTGTATCACCAAATAGATGTATATTTCACGCCAGTATACGTAGCAATAGAGTTTTGCCATTTTCGAGCTTCTTATATCCTGATTACATAATACGCCTGCATAAATATGTGTCATTAGTTAAAGAAGAGACGATGTGATGAAATAATTTCATGCATAAGATGTTTTCTTTGCATACTAATATGTTGTTTGGCCATAGTTTTTTTTCAATATTACGGTCACAGTCACTTGTGTTTGCCAATCCCAGATTAACGCAGCTTCTTTTGTTCCCTGTTCCGATGTTCATGGCATAGTTTCATGGTTACCTTTCTGGCTGTGGAGAATGCGTTCGGCATACTTTACATTGGGTCTCTATTTTAGTCTCTGTCTGATCTCCACGGAAAGAACGAAAAAGGTTCGTTTTTTAGTCTTACATTCTGATCTCATGGTGACTGACAGGAAATGTATAGCTTATTCAGCATTATTTCGATGTCAGTTACTGCATGAGATCAATGTATATGCAGAACTAACATCTGTTCTCCAGATTGCTGTCGCTCTGAATACTGAGTCTCATGCATAAGTCTTGTTTCTGATGGGGGACCACATGTAAGAGTTCGTTCATACACCTGACTGATGGCAGTGTAGGTTTCACGTGCTAGCGTGACAATGGCTATCACACTTTCCACCTCTTTCTCATTCACATAGTATATCACATTATACATAAGGCATTATTCTGATTATCATCTAATTAAATTCTGTTTAAATATCTTAATTGCACTGTGGTTTTAATGGCGTGATCGCATTTTTCTCATGCTTTTAAAGGGCTAAGGGGCATTTCAAGTATACTATTGTTTCATGGCATTATAACATGTGCAGTGCACGGATGCACCTGGTTGTTCCTCTGAACGGATTATTGTTCGACACAACAGAATGCGGCTGTTCATCGATTCATTGTGTTATGATACCTTAAATCTATTGTTTTCTTCAAATTCTTCGTGCCCCAGAAGCATGGGGACGGTTCCATTGCGCTCTGTAAATGCTGACAAGGACACATGAGGGGATTTGTTACACAATGGACTGAAGTCTGCCTTCGAACTCCGAAGGAGCTGAGTTCTAATTCTGATAGAAGTAAACGGTTTCCCATATACGATGAAAACGCCATGCTGCTTCAGCACAACCATCCGGGAAGTGGGTAGCAGGTCATTAACTTGCGAACAACAGGAAGAACATGGTTTCTGATGTGGCCATATAATGTAAGCCTAAAGGTACAACTGCTGTATGATGCGAACATCTTTTCTGCGCACTGTAATTCGTTTTCACCCACTTGATATCTTACTATCTTATATAATCATCATAAGGTATAAACCCAAAGAAAAGTATATATTATTATTACCCGCGGCAGTAAGAAACTAACATATGTCAATAAACTTAGTATTTCAGCTTTTTAGCATCTGTACGAAAGTGCCTAGTAAGAATGTTAGTCGTCATTTTATTACAATGTACTTGTTACGTTCAAAGATTGCTTTGTCAGACAAGCTGAAGGTATGGATTAAAGTTTGTTCGTTATACTAAAGTCCTTTTTATAAAATATTTTTTCTGCATTTAAAATTTTTAAACAAATTTTGGACATATTTTAGGCGGTAGAATTTTGGAAGCAAGCGGCTGAAATGGGCCACGGCTTGGCTCTTTATCAGATGGCGATTCTCTATCTTACGGGCAGCGAGCAGGTTTCACCGGATATTAACAAAGGTTTGTCATACATGAAAAAAGCCGCTTGTCTTGGAGTTCCAGAGGTAAAAAACTAAATTTAGCTAATCTGATCTGTTTACAGTAAAGCCTGGTTAATATGAAATTGTTTGATTGGAAACTTTATTTTAATTCGAATTTTGTTTTAAAGCTGAACCCAAATAAACTACCTTTGTACAAATGTGCTGCTGATTACGCAGCAAAGATGCATGGTGGGATTAACTAAGAAGATGGAGGAATGAATGGGTAAGAGCACAAACAAGAATATGCCATGTCACTGTCTGAGTGAAAAAGTTGAAGTAGCAGTGGACAAGTTACCTGCAACAAATACCGATTATCGTTGGACCAGAGAGACAATATGTTGGTTTCCAAAATAGAATAAATTGCCCGTTGGAAGATTTCCAGATCAAAGACTGCAGGAGTTGAAGAACTTCGCTGGATTAAGGTGAATAAAAGTCATAGAAAACAAGTTTATAACAAAGTCTTGTTGAGGCCTCCACGCATCGATGAATCGAAAAAGGTTGATAATGATGATGATACAAACGTACTGTATAATGCCATAACTCTGATCATTAGTAATTCGTAAAATTACTTCGGTGCTCATAATATTAATAACTTTGGTTCTGAATAATTTAAAAATATTCTGGAAAAATAAAATTTTACGTTTCGTTGACGCTTCTGTTTCCCTTTCTTTGTTCATCGTGACTGTGATGATAAATAATGTTACTTTGTCCAAAATATCAGAAGCAAAAACTCCTTTTACTTGCTTTGGTACATAGGGTCCATAGACGTTTCATTGATCAGACTGTTAGTATTTATCTACCACACAATATGGATGTATTGATATTTAGGCGAAACTGTACGTTGGTGCACTGAACTACCAAAGAGGAGATTTCAGCTCAGCGTTTGCCCTGTGGAAAGAAGCTGATCTTCTGGGCTGCCAAAAAGCAAAGAATTTGCTTGATGTTGCGGCAAATGCGAACATACAAGCCAGTACA